CCCCACCCCTACCCCCAACCCTCGACACACCCGCGACGCCTGCACCACACACACGCTTTTCCGAAAACCAACCACGGGCCGAACTTGGAGGCGCTGCACCCCATCCGGCTGGCGGCCGCCCACCGCGGCGCTGGGAAGCTTCCAGCTTGCGCGGCCACCCTTGATATGATGCGATGCTCCGGCTGAACCCTGAACCCTGCACCAAAAAGTGTGCGAAGGACCTTCGATGCGCCGTTGCCGTTTTGCATGCTGCGACGCGCTGCTGCTAATGTTGTAACTGCTGCTGCTGCTGCTGCTGCTGCTGCTGCTGCTGCTGCTGCTGCTGCTGCTGCTGCTGCTGCTGCTGCTGCTGCTGCTGTTAGTGCTGCTGCTGCGGGTGCAGGTGCTGCTTGGCAGCGTTGCTGCATGCTGAGGCAAGCAGAGCGACTTGAGCTGTCAATCACCCTGCTAGCTGTGCCTGAGTGTTGCGTCGAGCGACTACAGAGGCCGCTGTTGCCTAGGCTTACACAGAGCCAAAAAGCCCGCGCGGGCGATCCAAGAGGATGGTACGCCGGTCAAGCAGGTGTCCAGTCCAGAGATCAAAGTGTCATTCCGACCCGCTGCTACGTCGGGGGCTGGGGGGCGCGGCGCAGTCATGCTCCAGGAGCAACGGGGCAAAGGGCCCCAGAGTGGCAGACAGAACTGCTCACAGTGTACAAGAGTGCTGGCCTGCGGTCGAGCGGGCAGGTCGGCGCCGGCCGGCTGCATGGGCGACGCAGCGAGCGCTCAGAATCGAGAATGCTGTTTCAGGGTATGGAGGCGGCTCGACTTCAAAGCTCCTTCTTGGAGGGCGGCTCGATGTCACCGGGTGACGCGGCCTGCGGACGAGGGAGGGTGCGGTGGGGGCCCAGGGGGGGAGGCAGGAGGGTGCTGGTCGCGGGCCGCACAAGATTGCTTCTGTTTGAACGACGGGAATGTGGATTGCCTCGCCTCGCACTCAGAAACCATCGAAATCACACAGCGGGATGCACGCACGTGCGTTTGCAGCTCACATACACGAGCCAACACGTTGGTCAAACCCAAGCGCCAAACTGAGGCCACTGGCAGGCCGGTCATCATAAGTCATGCGGACTGAACCCCCGCCCCGCACCTCGGGGTTCTCATTCCAGATACTCCAGTTCAGGGCATTTGCGAAGGCCTGGTGTGCATTGATGCGGGGCAGGCCGAGAGTCACATATGTAAGTGGGTGGGGGTGGGACGCGAGAGAAAGATGGGGGAGAGGGTGAAACATAATCATTACAAATTGCAAAGCCGCCCGGGCCAGGCTGCCGCCTATGGTTGCGGCTAGACAAATGACAGCGCCGCCCTCCCTGCTTGCACTTTCCAGTGGCGACGCCTCCGAAAGAAGGCGACCGTCCCACATTGTCTGCACTGAATGCTTCCAGGCATCCTGGCGCACCCCTGAAAGCCCGGAACCTCTGTTTATACGTGCCGTATACGAATGTATTCATAATGAAGCTCTCACCGTGAACGCGAGGTAGGGGGCCATGAGCTTCCCGGCGTTGGCGTCAATGCGCGCAAAGCTGACGGTGGTCGCCGCCACCAGCCCCAGCAGGACTGCGGTCGGTTGTTGCGCCGCGTTTTGAGCAGTGTTGCGAGCCGTGATTGATGCGGTGTGTCGTGGGGCGGTATGTGTGGTGGTTGCTGGGAGGGGGGCACGACGGACGGAATCGCAGGCCAGGGCCAACTCCACAGCATGGCAACTCGGGGTACAAGTGTTAGCGTCAAGCAGGCGCAGGGGGCCGGGGGGGTGGGGTAGGAGGGGGGCGCGGCGCGCGCGGCTGCGCGCAGGGATGAAAGAGCGGCCCCGCGCCGCGCTCAGGGCCGCGGCCGACCGACGGCGAGTTTCAGGCGCGCACCTGCGTTCTCTGCCTGCGCAACGCCAGGCTTTTTGGCCTGGAAGAAGATGAGCTGCCAAGCCAGGTTGAAAACCTGCACAATTTTTTTTGCAGAGTTCATTAAAAGTGGGTCGATGCTGAAATGCTGCGCGACGCCTGCAACGGGCCTCCCGGCAAAGAGTGCCCCGGTCGCCACCAGCCAAGCGCCAGCTCGCCCCAGCCGGCCGTCCGCGCCGGCAGCAGTGCAAGCCAAGCAAGACGCTTTCGAGCCCCCCACACGCGGCCGAGAGTTCGTCTGTCCACGCCCATCCCCAGCCCCCCAAAGCCCACCAGCTGCACCCCGTAGAGGCCCAGGGGGGCCGAAGGGAACCCCGTTCGTTTCCAGACCTGCAGGCGAGCATCAGCATAGCATGTGGGGCGGCATCAAATGTGTGACGGGATGGCATAAGCAGCGTCTGCTAAGGATGCATGGTGGGCACGGCTGCTGAGGAGGGCAGGGGTGTGGGCAAGAAAGCAAGCCCGACGCAGCAGGCACGCCGGCTGCCGCCGCCGCATGCTGACGACGGGTTCGTGTACTGCAGGGGGTAGCTGCCAGCCCGGCCCCCGCCGGCTCACCAGGTAGGATGCGGCGCCCATGCAGCCGTACAGTACGGACCAAATCTGCCGGCAGTACGATAATGGGGGGCGGGCCGTCAGCGCGATGCCGTGCGCGCGCCGCGTCAGGGCCCATCAGGCCCATCAGTGGTCCTGAGGGTGGCGACCTTTCCTGCTCCCCCCAAACGGGCGCGGCGACAACAAGACCGTTCTTTGATTGCGGGGCGGAGCGGCGGTGGGCGCCCCTTGAAGCACGGGACAGGCGACGGGAGGACCCAGGCACCCCATCACCGACTTGCGTTATCAACAATTTGAGGCTTTTCGCGCACAAACAAACCTGGCCGAACAGCGGCGCTGGGGGCGTCCACTTGGGCTTCTTCAGCTTCCGGTACCAACTGACGATGGGGGGCAGGGTGGACGTGCCCACCACGGTGCCGAGAGCCAGGGGCACGCCCATCGCGACCATCTGTTTGGGAGGGCGGGGTTCGGGCGGCGCGTGCGGCGGTCGGGTCGGGAGGCTGGGAGCGGGGGAGCCCGTCTCCCCGGCGGGCTTCAGTCGGTCGCAAGGCCGGAGGGGGGAAGAGTGGCGCCGCCACAAGTTGGCGAGCGAGGTGACGGAGAGCATATGTGGGGCAGTGCCAGAGGGACGCAGCCTGGTGCGTCCGCGACAGCCTGAGGATGCAGCTGCAGCTGATCGCGCACACGCAGCTGCCCGCCTCGCTGGCGCTCGCTGGCAGAACGCGCGAAAATGGCGGTCCCCCGCGGGGCACGGCGCGAGGGCAGCACGCACCAGGGGACCATTCCTGAGCACGCCGGCGGCGGCCTGGGCTGCCGACTGCAGGGGCCCCATCCTTCTGGATCCGCAGGCCACGCGGCGTGCGCGCTGCGGCCGGTTGGCGGGCTGCGAGCAGCGGTCGGGAGGGGGTGCGTGGTCTTGAACGGGACTGGTGATCAGCAACTGTATCAATCGATATGTTCTGTTTCAAGAGGGCTTGATATGCGCTCATTGCAGCGCATGACGCATCGCTCCCCGGTCGCGCATGCTCGATCCGACTCACATTTGGGTTGAAAGCAGAGAAGGGAAGCCTAAACCCGCCAAACATCGTGGTCAAAGGCTGTATAATAGAGATGTGTGAGGCGCTGGTTAGCTTGTGGAAGGCCCTGCGATAAGGCCGCGTCCCTGAGTCACATCGGCATGTGACGGCCGATGCGGTCAGGGGCCGTAGCTCAGTCAAGGGTGCACCACAGCAAGTGGGCTGCTGGTACATCCATGATGACATTTGTGGTCGTCAGCATTGGACTCGCCGCACTCGCGCTGTCTCAACTGATCCTGCCATGCCCCCCGGGGCCCGGCAGGCCTGGCGGCCCTCTCAGGCGCTGCGATCGCGATTCATGCAGATACTTCATGTCACAGTACATGTACGTCAGAAATTTCCTGCCCAACTATCTTCCAGTGGCCCTCTCATGCCGAGGCGCAGCTTTTATGACATGCAGCGATGGCGACGACGGGGTTTGCGCGCCGGCCCCCAGCCCCCGCGCTCGAAGCGTAGGGCCCTGTGCTGCGAGCCGAGGCAGCCACCACCCGGAGGGCCACCGTCGCCCAGCAGGGTGGCAGCGGCTGCGGTGGCCCAGAGCATCCGCCGCAGCACAGCGCGTCCCGCGCCAGCGCGACCCATGATGATGGTTAAAACCCTAATGGTGCGATTGCGCTGGGGCGCCACTGGCGCATGCGCAGCCCCCTGATTCGCATTGACGCCGTCCTTTCACCTCCCAATTACGGATACAATCTGACTTGAACTAGCCATCAGCTCTGCAGGCTAGGGCGAGAGCGTGCCAGCCTGTCAGCATGATTGGTGGAATGCTGCTGCGCCTTTTGGCGACAACGAATCGAGTCGAGTCGTTTACAACACACACACAGGGGTCACGCGGGGCCGCCGGACGGTGCTCGTGACGGCGGCGTGGGCGTGCTGGGTGCCATGGCGGAGTAAGGCGTTTGGAGGCGCAGCGCGTGCCGACCGCGCAGGCCTAATGCGACAGATGGCCGCTACAAGGGCTGAGGGCGGGGGTCGGAAACGGTTGGTTCAGTGCGCAAGAAGTGTATTGTAAGGGTACTGGCAAGCAGACAGGCAATAAGGCAGGCGGATAGGCAGGCAGGCAGGCGTATTGTTGTGTGACGTCCCACACAGAAGGTGCGGCGGTTGATGGTGTGAAAGTATGCGTTAGGGTCAAAAGCTACAGCCATTGCGGACGGCGTAATGAGCGGGGAAGTCAGGCGGCCGGCCAGCTCCCAGCAAATCCATGGAAAGCCACAAGGTTTAAGACGCAGGAAGTGCAGGGGCCGCCGCACAGGAAGGCCGAGGCCGGCGGCAACCCCTGCTGGGGCTGCCCTGAGGGCGCGGGCGCCCAACACTTGTCTGGGGTCTTTGCTTGGTGCAGGTGCCAACGGCGCGGAGAGCGGATGGCTGTGCGGCTGAGCATAGCACGAGCCGACGCCCGGGCGCGACCCGCATGTTGAGGCATATTGAAATCGCGCAGGTGTCGCGAGCGGCACAGAAGGGAGGCGGGCGCCTCCCACTATCAAGTCGTAGGCATGCGTTGATTGTGCTTGTTGTCCGTGTGACCCAATTCTACTCGCCCCCTTTACCCGTAAACCCCAAACCCAACGACCTGAGCTGAGTTGCGCCCAGGTGCTCTGACCAAGCAAGGTCCCCAGCCGGCTCCGACGATCCCGCCGCTGCCACACAATAAGAACTTTGACAGAATTCATACCGCCATGCCCCCGGGAACAAAGCAACTGCTGAGTGGGAGGAAGGCCGGCGCGGGCATCAGATTGACACGCTTCGCGCGAAGCACCGGCCGGGTGACTCGTTTCTTGTGTGCTGCGTCGGTCCGGGAGCCCGCCGGGCTGCCGTGGCGGGCGCTTGCAGCGCGCCGCTGTCACGGGCCGAGCAGTAGGGAGTGCTCCGGCGCGATGGTCAGGGCGCTGCCGCTCAGCGCTCTGCGGGGCCAAGGGGGCGTTTGGGGGACGGGGTTGGGGACCGCTGGCTGTGGATGAAAGGATTGCGAGGATAGCACTCCAGATGCCGTGCCGCAGCACGCTCGGAGTGCCAAGGGTGCTCGGTAACAGCTCCATACATCTCAGACAAGTGATGACGTCTTTTGTCATGAGGTCTTCAGCCGGGTCGATACTCCCAGCCCAGCTGTATGTTCAAGGTACCATGATTATAGGCCCACGCCTGCCCAACTCCCGCTCACCCCCCAAACCCGTCCAGGCTCTGCGACAGCCGGACGTCCCCCCTCGTGTCGTCGGCAGCGGCCGCATGGGATCGGTGGCTCGCCATAACATGGAATTCAGACATGGCGCTGAGAGACAGCGTCGACGGG